TGTGGTTGAAGAACCGCTGTGCGTGTATGAACATCCTCTTAAGACAGCACCTCTGCAACGCTCTAGTGGCGATACTCAAACGCTGAACGCTCAAATGCAGAATTTTCGGCAATGTTTAATTACCCGCGAAGTGTCACATCTTGCCATGGCCGCGTCTGGACACGCTAGTGTGTGCTCATTAGCTCAGTTCCTTATTGCTACCCGTTCGTATCTCTTCCCCAAATTTAAACCAGTTCAATCCAAACAACGCGTAACGATCCACACCAGTCGCAGACACCGTCAAGCGTTGAGACGCGTTGGTCTCTTGAGAAAACGTTTAGCAACTGCTAACATCAGAGAGGTACATCGTGCTAGTTCACCGCATACAAAACATCTTCACAGCTAGGTTGTTGAGTGAGTGTACAGAGTTAAGCGTGATGCATAAAACGTTTACGGACACCCTGGAAGGGTGCAAGCTCAGAAAGCTTTGTGCCCGCTGTAACTAGATTCGTATATTAGCACCACAGTGTTACGCTTGCCGTACGTGACTGCCGCCGCCGCCGCCGCTCTCCTGGAGGAGAGCATCTCATTAGTTTAAGCCGTCCTTAGCTGCCATAATCTGCCTTGCAGATGGCAGTCGTGCTGCCAATAGTAGCCGGCTAAAAACTACGTGTGCAGTAATAGAAATGCTCACGCAGGAACGGAACAAGCTGACTGGCGCAGATTGGTCGACTCCTATTTTCCGTTAGCGCGCTTATTTAAACCGCGACCGACTGGGACCGCAGCGCACTGACCAACAGCGAGCATTGACCCCAATGGTAGTCACATGTGCTTACCGCCTGCTACCGCAGGTTTTAATTTGCAAGATTTATCACCTCCAAGGTACCGCTTATCCTCGTCGAATCCCCGATCGATTATGGCTTTCCCGCTAGAAGCCCTCTCCATGAGCCACCCGCCCTTCCAGCATTGTTTCCCAGAGTGGGTTTCATCGCAGAGTACCTGGACAGCTGCTTTTCTTGAGTTAATAGCGCAATAGTAGCGAATCAAACGCCGAAACGTGGATCCCACAGGCAACGGCTACGGCTACAGATAATGTCGTCCTTGATGCTAAATTTGTAAGACGGCCTGACTGACCCTCTCGTTCTTTCGTCCGTAAAGGTAGCAGTTGCACTACTACAGAGCACTGAGGCAGGTCCATGTGGGCAGTCCGAGGATATAACGCACTCCTAACACCCTTTGTCCATCGACGTACGACCCACCTCAAACCCTCTGCAAGCGAGTATATTATCCCTACGACAACTAGAATTAGTTCGATTCATGGAGAAGCTACATGAGTGGCGGCACGAACTTAAGCTCTGAGATAGTTCTATACGGTTGGTTGGTACGGGATGGGATGGAGTGGGGTACCATTATTTTTCTGATATGTAAACTGCACTTTCCTGACACGATATAGCGTTCGTTAGAATCAAAACATTACGTTCTGTCGCTACTGCTCGATGCTGAAAGGAGTGAGTTAGAGCTGAAGAAGGCTGAAATGAAAGACCGTTTGCTTTACTGTTGATAGACAATCAGTGAATCTGTGACGCTGGTAAATATTGATGAAGTAAACATGCAAATCGAGGACTTTACTAAGCGAAATGAATGGCAACGTGTACTGGCGAGACTGGCCGGTGCCACTGCACCAGCCGGGCTCGGCTTCCGTAGCTGTTGCTGCTGCCGCTCCGGTTGTTGAAGCCGGGGGGATTACAAACATGGTGATGGCCCCGAGGTTGATTAATGAATAGCATGTTGATAACGTTCTTTCGAAGTAAAGAAGACTCCTGTAATGGAGAATACATATATATGAGTGGACATGTCCCTCTCTACAGCTCATGCAATCGTATATAATTTCATGCCGGTCCTACAATCGTCAAATCACACATGATGTATCTATATAGACAGGGATACATGCAAACTTCCTGTCCTGGTAATATGGTAAGAGAGTAAGAGGAAGGGGAACAAACCTTAAAAGAGCATATCCCTTTAAGGCGCGAGCGGGACTAAGAAACGTGACATCATTTCTATTTAGGGAAAGCAGACGCTGCAACTCTTAGGGAAATTCTCCTTTGAACGTGCAGAACTCGGCCATCGCCTATCGGCTGCACTTCACATGTTAAGCCTGTTGACTCGCGTCGAGATAATATATATATAGTACATCCATCCTTCGATAATACGATTTTGTACCTATGACATATTGTATATCCCACTGTACCCATAGGGAAACATATCTGTTTATAAATTAATTTAATACTATCCGTAAAGCTGAAGGAAACTGGAGTTAAAAGAACTTGGAAATTAGACCTGATTCAGCTGTTCTGCATCGGCTCGAGCTATAAAAGCTGTAGCTTATTCCCAAAGGGGCGATCGCAACATGTCTTCTATTTTGTCAGCACTGTCGGTATCCGTACTGTGGTGTCGGTCCCTTTAGGCGAACATTGCGTCGTTGATACAGGTAGGCATCTTGGCTGATTGGGGATTCAGCCAACTTCTCTCTGCTGCTGATTGCCCGTTATGCTGCAAGTGCTTCCCTTAAAGTCCCCACTGCTAACGAAACCTCGGAAAAGACTTTCTCCATGTTGACGGTAGCTGAGGGCTTTTAGGCCAAATTGGAATTAGCAAAATTGCTTCCTCCATCAGCGTTAGACCTCGCAAACTGCCCTTTTAACAGTTGTCCTCTCAGCAAGCTTTCTTTACGTTGTCGTCTGGTGATCGCCGGACCAATTCCGCGTCTGAGGTACATGCTACAATAGGCTGACATTGGTGCCTGTACGTTATCTCCAAAAGTCCGATACACATTTGCCCCTACTCCATTTTTTCGGTCGGTTGGCGTGGACTGAAAAGCTCCCACCGTATAATACATGCGCAGCTGTATCTAGAGGCAAACGGTTTTAATTAATATATATTTTTTTAGAATAGATTATGCCCTCGTGAGGAGGCATGACGCACAGAGTGTCATAAATGATTGTCTCCTCCATAAAAGTTTCCGGCACGTGGACTGGGTGCTCCTGTTACCCAGGCACTCTTTTATCAAACTGCTGAGTACCGACCTGTATTTCATGTTCGACTCCACATAGGTGGGACGTGGCACCGCACCTATTATAATTACAGATTGGCCAGTTACGGTCGGTCTAAACAACGCACTACCGCAACAAAGACAGCGGTGGCTATCCGCTACACTTAAGGGATGACATGTATCGGGCAATTTTTCCAGTGCAGTTCCAGATAAATTATCTAGTTTTTTCGGCTCCAAACGGAGGGAACGGATGAAAGGTATCGTAGGAACGAATAGCAAAATGGCGTGGCGTGGCGTGGACGAGGTTATTCGGTCCGGTGTTGCTGCGAGGTCGAGTAGCGAACTTCGCAAGTAAACTTCATACCAGTAGAATATTATGAAAGCCGCAAGTTCCCAGCAGGAAAATATGACTAAACGATCTCGACACGAACTTATACGGGATATCAGCTAACGAGCAAAAACTTTCTCACTTGCGGCTACAAAACTGTGATAAGTAGGACCGAATGAAACAATTGTCAGGACTGTCTAGGCTCAAGCCATTGTATATAATCATATGCTTAGATCACATAGTCGGGTTGTACTGTACTGATCTCTATTTGAGCTTAATGGTTAATGTACATATGCAATAAATGGCTACGTGATACACAGTTGGTATGTTTCATTCCTATGTGGAAAACCTATCCCTATTACTCAAACTAGTACTAACGCGTTTACAAAGAATGCTTCCCAGATCATCAGATTTCCATCCTTTCCCATAGATCTTCCTCGTAGTTGACTCATCGGACTCAATCCCGAACGTAACCAGTTCACAGGTTTCTTCGTATGTCATTCAATAGTGACACGTCAATAGGCGTAAGATATCATGTACTTTTTTTTGTTAAATGCCATGTTACTTAGTCGCTTGTCCTTTACTTTGGCTTCGCGCAAGATCACTGCGGGACACCTTCCCTTTGAGCGCTTGCTCGCCTCATTATTGTCTGTAGTTGTAGCTGTTGCTTTCTTCTCCGCCGATACACTGTTCCTGTTGACGATATTGTTCCTGGTGTTGCTCGGGACATGTTTTGTGGCTTTCATGATATGGGGAAAAGGGAGTCGTTATGGGAAGAAGGACGTATGGCATCTAAGCAGACCTGGAAGCTTATCAATAGCCTCACTATACGGCGTGATCTCACCTTCAGACAAGCAAAGTAGAGTCCGACAGCGCACTTCTCTTTTACCCCACAGTAGCAGCAGCTCCTTACTTCCGGTAGTAAAGATTGCACATTTACAGAGTGTAGTGTCGTTGTTGTCCCGTTTTTTCACCCCGGAGTTGCTTGTCCTCTCCCTGATGATAAAGTTGATGCCTGTTTGGCGTCGTCTTGCGTAAAACGTTTAATCACAAGAGGATCGATGGGCTGTGGGATTGCTTTTACGTGCTGCTTAGCCTTACCTAGCAGTGATTCGCTAAAACTTATCGAAGGTCGCCTTCGCTATGATCGAAGGCCTGTGTTCCGCTGCGATAGGTGAACTAGAGTTTTTTATTTTGCTTTGTCGGCGTAACGACTGCGTCGGGCATCAACATATGTTGCTATGAGGAATGTTTTTGATACGATTCAAAAACGCCTTATAATATAAACACTATCGATGACAACGTAGCTAAGACTAAGACAGTTCGTTGTACATACATTGGCGGCTGAAGATTTGGCCTGCTTGGAGTAATACCTGTAACAGTAAAATCCGCTCAAGGAAACAGGTCTAATGTGCGAGCGCCGCCGTTCAGCAGCCGGCCATTTATGATGTGAGGTTTATTTATTTACTCGTACTACAACTCAAACACGAATGTGCAAAAAGTTCTTTGGCGTATCAGTACTGCAAACGTCTTTTACGTAGAACGTTTTTTTCTATGCTATGTATAAATAATTTCTAAGCATGATCTACAATGAGGAGTCATTATATTAATTAGCCTTTTTTACTATCTGTCACGTTTCAGCTTGCCAGTGCAATGGTCATTCACGTGTGTGTCGATTTAATATGGAATTGTACAAGTTATCTGGTTTCCGTAGTGGAGGCGTCTGCGTAAAATGCCGCCATAACACAGCCGGAAGACACTGCCACACTTGTCGAGAGGGTTTCTATCGAAACCCCGCTCTACCATCCACTCAGAAAAAAACATGCAAAGGTTTGTGGGACGATTTGGCTACTTAAGTTACTACCATTTCGTTAAGTAAACGTATTCAAGTGAAGTTCAAAGAAAAAAAGAATTGAAATCTACGAATTCTAAAAAGTTCGTCAACTTTCTATTTTCTCTTGCAGCATGCGAATGCCATCCCGTTGGTTCGCTGGGACGCATCTGTAACATGACATCGGGCCAATGCCCATGCAAGGATGGCGTGACCGGTCTTACCTGTAACCGCTGTCAAAAGGGCTATCAACAATCGAGATCGCCAATTGCGCCGTGTATTCGTAAGTAGATAACAATGATCGAGTTCCAAAAAGCACGCACGTGCAAAATGCGCATACTTATTATACATGCATATATATGAGGGTACAAATAAATTGGGGCGAAACTGGCATCGCTTTTCTACGAGCTGCATCTGCGTAGCGAAAAACAGAGGCCAACACACAGACTCTAGTCAAGCGGAGATTCCTAGATCAGTTGAGGTCCTACTTAAGCAGCGGGTTTAGATCGAAATTTTCAAGAACTCAAGCGTCCGATAAAGCTACCAAATGCAGAACGCCTAAAAAAATCTAACCGTTACGGTTTCTTTGGCTGATCCGATTCGTGATATCTGCTTTCCTTAAAAAAGAATCTACTGCAAATTTTCTTCATCAAAGCTTACGATAATCACAAATCCGTTTTTGCGCGACTTCAATGAATTTTGAAAAAACTGGGTTTCCACTTATACCTAACGAAGCAGCTGGACACATTCCTGTTGGAACAGATCGCCGCCCAGTACATGCTTATGTTGTTATGCTCATCCCGGAAGCTCTGAAGTAACGTACTCGTTCTAAAAATTCGCAATCTTTAAGTACATATACTGGTAATGATGGTCGAAACCTTTAAATTCACTATTGGGGTATATACTTTTATTCTACCGTGGCCTCATCGGTAAACACTGAAGCCGGCGAAGACTTGCGGACCACTGTTGTCTAAAAAATGAATTTCAAAATGTCTAAATGAAAATAACATGGATTATTTTTCGTGGTTCACTTCTTGATTGTGCAAAATGTTTATTTGATTTCCTGTTAATTCCCTACAGGCATCCACGATCCAAATGAGCTACCAATAGTCAGCGCCCATCGACCAGGTTAGAAGACTAATAACCTAATAATATATAAAGATAATAATCGTAACAAGCTTAATCAAGTATATTTTTTATATAATATCTCTTTTTGCTTGTCAGCTGAGGTTCAGCTGTCAAAATACTGTTCGCTTACATTTCTTATACAACTAGCTTTAGTACACAACTATTGCATTGCAGAAATGCTAGATAGGAAAATATCCAACACAAATAAGTGGATATGTCTGTGTAGGCTCTAAATTGCGCTCGTGTCAGCAATATGACGCTTCTCTATTGGCGGTTATATAGCAATGAGCATAGGGTTTAACTATGTATCTTAGACTAAATATACGATCTAGGACATTGAGACAGATACGCGCTGCTATCTCCCATAACTTTTTTAGCTTCGAGCATGCAGGTGTATAGATTTACGTACAAAAGACGACTACACACGTCGTACGCAAGCACTAAACGAACGCGTAACCGGTACATTTGTCTGATGTAGAAGGCCGCTTTAAATGTTCGTATCCGAAAATACTCTTCGACACCCAGAAAACTAATAGCAATAATACAAAACCAATAGTAACAATTACGGCCGACCCAATCTAGCCGGTGTATCTATTAAGGTAAGCGATTCTATTCTGGTCATCTGTCAAGCAGAAATGGTAAGCGGCGTGACCGTGTCGATATCATGGTGTTCGCCATGTTGGCAATAGAATTAGCTAGCGGATGCACAGCAGCTGTAGAGATGTCTTACAGATGACACGAGCAGTCGAGCAGTCCCCCTTGTACCTCACTTCAGCCTTTAATGGTATGTGGTACGTTTAACGGTGTCTTCGCCATTTGAATGGCAATGATTGTTGTTGTTGTTGTTCTTCGTTATGGTCGTCTATACAATCTGAAACTGGGCATCGAACAAGAATAGGGACTCGGTGTACGATTAGGACATAAAACGAATTTTATCTACCTCAATTTGTTCACTGCAGGTCATCTGCGCACCTATGAGGCGAATACCTGTAATACTTTCTATGCTATGCATTGTCTTGATTAATGACCTTCTACCATTCTTTCGGCAGCACCGTAGTTCCATCATTGTAGAACTTCTGTGATTTCTCAGCGGAAAAGTGTGACAAATGATTTTTGACCTGCTCCATTAAAGTTAAGTGGACATTATTGAAGAAGTTCGGCAGATAACGAATTGAAAGTGCCAGATCCGGGAGATGCACTAAAATTTTCTGGTATAAGTTTTCTTAATATTTTTAAATGCTGGCTAAAATTTTCAACGCACTGAAAAATAGCACTGGGTGTTCCGAAATGTTTTTCCGCATGTGATCCATTATTTATCAACTGTGATCAATTGCTTCAGAAGCGGCTTGACCTAACTGCGTTTCTGTAAAGTTCCACAGAACAACGGAAACCCGACTAAGTTATTTTCTCTAAATTTATATGGCACCTGCACTTTTAGGCTTTTTTTTTTTTTCTTTTACACTCAGCTTCCTCTAAACGGTTTGAAGCTATTTGGTGGTGGATGTTCGAACCCTTGGCGATATCGTGGCTGCTCATGTAGTGTTCTTGTTAAGCTCTCGCAACGATTTTATCCACTTTTGTAAATAGCCGACCGTGAGAAGCATCTTTCACATTGAACTTTGCAGAAGAAAACGGTACGAAGGCCACCTTTGGGCCGTGTCCTTCGATAACGCATCTTGACCATAAACAGCATGAATTTCTTATGGGCCTACACCTTACTATAAAGTACAGCGGTTCATTGCAAACCGCTATATCTCACATCCGAAAAATAGCATTCCATTAAGTTTGGTATATTTACCACTGTCTGATTTCGGCTTTAAATGACGCCAGCGTCGATCTGACACGACTCTTATTACCTGCAACATGTGACTTTAACGCCATCAAAACTTTCAATACCTTTTCGTCAAACTAGTATGTATAGATGCGCCTTTTAAAGCTTCAACGTTCGTTAGTGATACACTTTGTTTGAGCTTATCTCGTAACAACGATATATTGACACGTTTACGTTGTTATTTGTCCGCAGCTGCTGAAGAAAAGGATGGCACAAGCAGCGATACTGGAACGGACGATGAAGACTACGAGGATGACGAGGGCCGATATGACGAAGAGTGCGCAAACTGCCATCTGCGCACTACTGAGCTGTCCTTCGGCAAGTTCTGTAAAAGAAACTTTGGTGAGATTCTCACACGCAACGTTACAATATTAGCTACCAGTTCCTGATACAGTTGAGCTGTGGTCAGTCATTCCGATCGGGAACTGCGGCACAACTTTATAAATATCGTCTCCGAGTGTGTGTATATATGTAATACGTGTGAGTTAGATAACAGCACACGCTCAAGTACAGAATTCAGCACACGGCAGAGCACAGATCCAAGTTGACGCTATAACATTAATCGTAATTAGCATTAAAGGCAAACTTTTACAAACATCATAAGTATTCGTTGGCCTACGTTCATCGGTAATAGTCATATTGAATTTTGAACAAACAAGTGGCTGGATTTAAGGTTATTTGTTCGAAATGGGAACCGTTTAGAAGAATTTTACATTTTTCTGTTAAATTTTCTCATAGTTATCTTATTATCAGTTTTGTGTTTCCAGCAGGCGAGCCATCTCGAAAACGTTAACTTTGATTTGCTTTTCATTGTTAGTGATCCAAGCGACGTTGCTAAGCAGGGAAGAGTTCGGGGACTGGGTACGTTTTTCAATTGAAGTCAACGAGGTATTCAAAGCGGGAGCTTCAAAGGTACGACGCGCCACAGTGGACAGCCTCTGGGTCCCACGAGCAGATTTACGGTGTCGATGTCCTAATATTAAACTAAAGGCCACCTACATAATACTTGGTAAGTTAAACCTCGCAAAAATCTGTTAGGGACAAACACATCTTTTTGTACTAAGACTAGAATTTCACTAGAGATTATAGCAGCAAAGTTTAAGCCCCTATAGGACTACTTGTCTATGTGCACATATATTGCAAAAAAAAGATAAGAAGAGTACCTCTTAATATTAGAATGGTGATAAAAGCATTGTTGATTATCTTATTTTAACACGCGTAATATGCCTGTCTCTGCCATACTGCGGAACAACAATTTCCATAGATATAGATCTACTGTATAGTGCTATACTACTTTGACACCTGCCAACGATACATGCTACATCGTCTATTCGAAGAGAAGTTATAATGTAAGACTGTAGATGATGAACAAGACCAGAAAACATATAAGGTATAACTAACAGAATAATTAATTGATTTTGATGTACTATAAACATCTATAATTTCCATTGCCTTTGTTTACGTTGATTTTTCGTTTATGTTGCTGCAGGATCAAATCAAATGCACGGTGGTCGAATGAGCATGACCGGCGACCGCAATAGTTCAGTGCTTGACGCTAACGAAGAAAACGTCCGCAGGTTGCGACGTTATCAGGGCCGAGCACGAAGATGTCCCAAGGTGTAGAAAAAAAACTGACGAGGTAGCAAAACGTGTACGAGGCAACACTGCCTAATTCGGTTTGATCGCTACCTGAGATCCACGTTACGAGGACGACTATGTCAATGATCTACAGCTACGACAGTACTCAATAGGACTGACAATATATATTGTACATTGTCTGACGAATAGTCATTGCGATATATAGCAGCTATCACCCTGTATATA